CCCCAAAACCCCAAAACCCCAAAACCCCACAAGGTAGGATTTAGAAGAAGGAGTATGTAGAAATTACTTAATTATCAATAATGTAAATCATTTTATGTTGCTCCTGATCAACGATAATTTATTGCTCAGATGAAATCAGTGTCTGGATCGAAGTCATCTCCACCATCACCGACGTCTCCAAGGGCATCTTCCATATCTACTTTATATCTTAGGAATCCTCCAATACCACCGAATCCTTTGACAAATTGATACCCTTCTTGTGATTTGTCAGTAATGAATTCAACTTAGGCTCCGTAATTTTGATAATTATGACAAAGCCACTCAGCCAATTAATCCTCTGCAATAACGTCCATATCTAATCCACTAGCTTAATCCTTAAAGTACTTAGAATCCTTTTGTTATGTAGGATTCAAGAAAAGAGTTCTGGTATCTCCCTTAACTGGATTCTTAATAACATATCTGGTAATTTCGAGCTCTTCAAATAATAAAATAGTCTCCACTGCTCCAAGCTCGAGTGCCTTCATAGTGTCCTAGACTCCGAAAACAATCATACCAGTATCTAGAGAAATCTACTCGAAGAATGTGCTGACTAATTTCTTTTCAGCAACAAATTTGACATTGGTGAGAGCATCAGCTGATAGTGTAATGGCTTCATTTAGACCATTCTCGCCTCCATAAGAAACATCCACTATGGAGACAATAATTGGTAATAGTCTCTTATCGAGCATGTCAGTCTCACTAAGTTCATTCTTGAATCCAGCATTACCAGCCAATACTAGACCAGTAACATTGGGCTTATCATTAGTGATGAAATTAGATCCAGCTAACTCTGCAACCTTTCTGAGATAATTATGCCTCTTTTCTTCTCTCAGTCTAGCGAATCTGACTGATGATTGACCTCCCTTTCTGTGCTTTTTGGGGAGCTCAACAGTGATTTTCTGCAAAATTTCTCTGCTATTTCCTTAGAGGGTAGCATATAAGGCTCCATTACCATCAACAATAATGAATCCGAATTTATCATCATCAGCGAGAAGGGTAGTCAAGGGTTCAGTCTGGAACTTACCACCGCAAAAATACATGAATTAGTTGATTGGGCGGAAAGGTTCAAAATCAAAGTTAATTTTCTTCTCAGTTTTACCGTCTTCCATCAAAATAACACCACAATAAATGCACAATCCATTGGTTGGAGTCTATCTATACAACTTGAGTTCTATAATAAATTAGCCAAACTAATTTTCTTACTTTCTTTGGTAGAGGTAATAGCAGTGATGACAGATTACCTAGTGATTCTACTCTTAATATTTTAGGCAGCACTAAGCTCACCGACTAGCAATTTACCCGACTTGTTGATATCTTCCTTTGGTGGGATGATCAAGGAGACCATACTGGTACCGTTACCTTTGCAATTTTCCAATTTGTTAATTAAACGCTTAATTTTCCACATCTCAATATGCTTATTGTCTCCGACTTAGCCTGCAGCGATTGATTCGACCATTTTTATAGTATATATAGAGTAACCTTTTGGGTTTATTATTTTATAATGAATTAATTAGTTTAATAATTTTAATTATATTGTAAAGAGTCCAATGGAATCATCAAGTAAATTATAATATCCTTGAAATATCCAATCTATAGCAGGTAATAGCGTCTCAAATCTTAAAGCAATGTTCGAAAAGAACAGTTAGCCGAAAAATGATAACCCTTTAGTGAGAAGATCGACTGTTGCCCCATCTCAACAAAAGATCTTAGGTGGCTAGAATACTCTTTAGAAGACAATATCTACAAATCAAAATACTGAGATATCGAGTGGTGCATCTTTGACTAGCCAAGAGAAGTCTGTTGAGATTACAAGTAGCAACACTAGCAATGTGCAAGCATAAAACACAATTTCATCCTAGATTGATCAGCCTTAATAGAAATCGGTAGATAACTTAAAGTCAGTCTTCGAAAAGAAGACCTCCGCCCCTCAATCAAGAAATCCTGCAGGAGGTAAGATTTTTTATGATATAATTTTTTCTTATAGGATTACCTTAAAGCAAGACAAGTGATAGTGGATGGATTAAACAAAATACATTAACGAGTTCCTCTTAGAATACTTCATAAAATGTTGGTGGAGGTGTCAAGGAGAACCCTTTCAAAGCTAAGTTTGAATAAGAAAAACAAAAGTTACAATAAGATGGTCAATAATAAGTTCCAAAACCTTTAAACAATCCTTTCGTGAAAAATGATTCATCAAAATAGACAGTTGAAATTACATCTAAAAAGGATAATGTGCCCATTTAATCTGTTAAGTAAAATCAAGAAACTATAATTCAATCTAAGTCAAAGCAAGAAGCAGTAATCTAATCACAGCCAAAACCATTACCAGAAAATAACTTTTAAAGTTAATCTACTTCAAAAGTTGAAAGTGTTATAACATCAAAAAAAGAAGAGGTTAAACAGGAAATTACTCAAACGAATACTGAACAAAAATAATAACCTGATTTAGTGAAATCATAAACTTTCGAAGAGAAAAAAAAGGAAGAGCCTAAAAAGCTTATAGTTAGTGACGTGTTTAAAGCATAGCCAAAGTAAAACGAAATGCAAAGAAAATCAGATCCTCCTAAGAAACTTGTGAATCCATTTGAGAAAACTGTTTCTGGTAATGCTGATGCTCTGAAGAAAGAAAATAAAGAATCAATTTTTCAATCTGTCAAATAGCAAATTCCACCTCCTTTGAAACAAGAAACATCTCCAGCAAAGTAACAGGAAGTCAAGACTTAAGATAAAAGCTCTCCTACCAAAAAGAAAGGCTTATTTGAAGATTCTGATGATTCTGATGAAGAAAATTAGGATAAAGTAGAAGAAATTAAAACTTAAACTAGTACTGTTTCAAATAATAATGCTAATCCCGCCTTTAAAAAGAGCAATACCACGGCATCATCCATTAAATAATAGAGCGAGCAAAGATTATCTCAGCAAGTTGCTTCCACAGGGGAAAGTCAAGATTTCAAGAATTCACTTGCGAATCTTTTGGCAAAAGGAAATCCACTTATGCCTGGAGTCGCTAGAAAATCTACCATAGTAGGACCAAAGACTAAGGAAAATCTAGAAGAAGAAAACAAAGAGAAGATCAAATTTGAAATTTTTGATGAGGAGCCAGGCTTGAATAAATATAAGTCTACAGCCCCAATCCTTGATAATGTAAGTTACTATAATTTAGAATAAATTGATTAATAGGAGGTGAACATGATGAAGCCTTAGTTGTTGAAAAACAAAGCTATGAGTAAGCAATATAACTTCGATGAGTTTGGATCAGATGATGACGAATGAGCTGCTATTTATACTCCTCTTTCAGAAACTGCTCAAGAGTGCATAATTTGAAATCCATGATAGTATTTATTTATGAAAAGAGTTTAATATAATTTTTTGTTTCACACTGCATAAAGCAGTTCAATTAATATAAATGCAATCGTTATATTTTGAATTTAATACTAATAAATTATAAAAATGCTAGCAGATCAAATTGTAACAGAATCTCCCTCTCTTAATTATTATTCTTTTAGAGACCTTCGACTTCGAACAGAGATAAAAGCATTAATCGATCTCATAACATTGTTGAAAAAGATTATTACCGAGTGATGAAAACTCACAAGCAAGTTGAGAAGCATTTTTAAAAGAAAAAAGCTGATCCAATAATTCAGTCTCAGCACAAGTTTAAAAGTAGAAGTTAACTTATTATGGAAGAGTTCTAGCAGCCAGAGCTACCAGATGAAAAGATTTACATGATTGACAAAGTAGTTAGAATGAGAGGCAAGCAGGGAAGGTTTGGTGTTGATCACTCCGAGATCCTTAACTTTGAGTTTGAAATGGCAAATAAATACAGGAGTGATCACATGAATCGCTTGGTTTACAAATCTGAAAATTACCCTACGCTTTAAAATGACCCTTTCTACACTGGTGAAGCAGGTGTGGATAAGGAAAATCGTGGTCTTTCATCAATGATTCTCTTCTAAAGACTAAGTAAAAAAGAACTTGATGATCTAGATGGCAAATAAGATTAGCAAGATAATGATTCCAAGTCTTAGTTTGATAGAATGAGCAAGACCAGCAAACCTGCAACTAACAGATCAATGACTAATCTCAAAGATCCAAAGTCAATGACATTCAACGAATGGGTAAAGAGAAAAGATGCTGAAAAAAGAATGAAGCAGAGACTCATTAATGATGTAAAACAAGAAATTAGACAAGAATTATATGAGATAGCTTAACACGAACAAGTTGAGCAGGAAATGAAGTAATTTATTGTTTTTTAATCTTTCTAAGAGTCAAATATATGGAGGATTGGCTAATGCAAAAGAAACTAAGCGAAGCCTAAAAAATTGCTTAACTTATGGACCTCTAAGAGAGAGAATCAATACAGAAGTAAATGAGAGATAAATCAAACTATAAATCCTACAAGGAATGGCTTAAGAAGAATATGCTCAAAGAAAAGCAGCAAAAATACAAGCTCATATAAAAGAGATAAGAGCTAATGGATAATGAAAGAGAAGAACATATGCGAAGAAGCATTGAGGCTTAGATAGAATACAAATAATGGCAAAATGAAAAGACTAATTAGGATAGAGATGCTATGAGAGAATAGAGAAGATAGGAAGAGATGGAACTAGAAAGAAGAATACATGAGCAATAGCAAAATCTAAGCTAGAGTAATTATGGGAATGGCCATAATGAAGATTCTAATATGAGTTCTCAAATGTACAGTCCTCTAAGAGTCAGACCAAATAAAAGATGACTATTACTGGAAAACTATTATTATATAACTCATACTTTTTGCATTTAAGAGCCTATAATTTTAATTTTTACTCTAAGATTTTATGTATTGAGGGGTTTTGGGGTTTTGGGGTTTTGGGG